ATCGATTAAGTGGATTATTCCAAAGAAACTTTGGAGGATTCAGAAATGAGGTTAAAGACATTTTTACAACACCATGTCTTCCATTTATTGGAACATATCTTACAGATTACACTTTTTTGGATGATGGAAATCCTGATATGGCTGGTGATAAAATTAATGTGGATAAGAAATTAAGATTATTTGAGTGTATCAATAACGTAATACGGTTCAAAGATACAAAATATGATATTGTTGCTATTCCACAGATTATTTGTTTCATTAAAAATTATTATTTTGATGATGGAATTCTCACAGATGAGAAGTTGAAATATGAGAAATCCTTAAAAACAGAACCAAGAGTAAAGAATTAATTTTAATTCATTGCTTTTTATTCTTTTCTTTATTTTAAAATGATTGATTTAGCTAATGACATGATTTGTGCTTTTATTTCTTCAGGAAGTGGTTGTTTCGTTTCTAACCATTTCTCTGCTTTCTTCACAAGCAACTTCCATTCAATTTTATTTTCTACAAATTTCTCTTTTAGTAATTGAACTACAAAGAATGTTTGAACAACAGTTTGATCAAATTGTGTGTTCTTAAACTTATCTATTTCTTTAATTAATGTGTCAATTCCTACAAATTTTCCTGCCGCTTTTTGACATTTGACAATCTTTTCAAATAAACATTCCTTTATATTTTCTTGTTGTTGTACAATTTTTCTATGATACTCTCTGTCTCTCCTCTTTTTCATTTTGTTATATCTCTTCACTGTACTTCTGTTATCTAGTTGATTTGTTTTATCGTTTTCATTCAATCTAATTCTTTATAACAATACACATTCTTTTCCTTGAAAATATGGTCTTATTCATTTCTGTTTAAGTAATTATAATAACTCATCCAACCTGATAATCCAATTGAGAAATTCGTTGTACTCTATTACATTTTCCTTTCTTGTTCAACTCTTTTTGAAAATTAACAGACAATGAATAAATGATATTTAAGAAAACAAAATTACAAAAAGAATGATTAGTGAATAATTAAAAAATAAGAATTAAAGTAAGTGGTTGATAAGAAAAAATTGGTAGAATAATCATTGTAAATAAAAAGATAAAGTGATGTTATTTATTAAAGAATAAGAATTGATGGTTTATTAAAATTTTATAAATTATTGAAATAATTGAATGTAATTTATATTGAAATAGTGATTAAATAGTGATTTTCGTATTAATTTATAATTAAATTTCATTAAAAATATCATGATTTTGAATATGTTAATGTGAGTTGTGTACAAATTCTATTATTATTTATAATATTTATATCATTAATGATACAATAAATTATATAATTTATGAAAAAAGAGTTAATGTTTTGATATTTGTTTTAATATATTTTTATTTTTATTCATTGTATCATTACGATAATATTAAAATATTTATCATCATTATTAATAGAGTTATTTTTCATATTGTTGATTTTTATTATTTGATTATATTCTTCTTTACATTCTATCTGTTTATTTTAATCTATTTTCAATAGTTGTTTTCTTATATATGATAATTTAATATTGTTAATATACTATTTTTCATTACTTATATTATTCTTTTCTTTTTTATTACTTTTTATTTATTCATTATTCATTCTTAATTAGTTTTTTATTTAATAAATCATTTCAACTATTTCATTTCATTCTTTTAACTATTCTTTTATTTCTTCTTTTTGTTTTTAGTTTAATTGTTTCTTTAACCCTTATTTTCTTTTGATTTCTTATTTTCTTCTTTCAATTTATTTTAATTCTCTCTTATTATTCTATATTTCTTATTTGTGTTATCTTTAATATCATTCTATTTACTTATCTTTTTCTTATTCATTTTTCTTTTCTCTTTTTAAATTCTTTTTCTTTGTATTTCTATTACCTTGTTATACATTTTATTATTTCTTCTTTCTTTTGTATATTCTTGAATGTTTATTTCTTGTTTAGTGTTCTTTACAAGAATCAATACCATTATTCATTGTTATTATAACTTATTATATTCTTTAAATTGAAAACAGTTACAGTGTTTAAAGTAAAAAATAGAATGGAAGTATGATGAACTTTGAAAATATTTATTATATTTTTATTTTTATTAATACAATATTATCATGCCTCTCTAAGATGTATTAATAATGATGAAATGATTATAACTTAAATAATGTGTTATTAATGTTCATTTAATTTAATGTTATAAGATAAGAAGTGTTATCAAAATATGAAAGATTTATTTTTTATATTTCAATTCTTGGAGTATTTAGAATAAGTACATTCTAATGAGAAATCATTTAAATTGAATTCTATAATAGAATAATTTAATGAATTTGAACTGTTCACTTCTCAATATTCATAAAGTCAAATAGTAATGTATCTAATAATTGATTTTTAAATATTAATCTTATTTTTTCTTCTTTTTATTTATTATTATTTTATATTAGATGTTATTTTATTATTTTATATTTGTTTATATTGTTTGTTTATATTTTATTATTATTATTTGTTGTTTATATTATATTATTTATTATATGTTGTATTGATATTTACCATTGTTAATATGAAATGAATAATAATGAATAAATATAAAATAAGAATAAAATGATATAAGAATATAACATAAATAATAAAATAAGAAATATATAATAGATATAAAGATAAAAAGAAGAAGAATAAAATAAAGAAATATAAAATAATATAAAAAATAAATAAAAAAGAATAAAATAAATATTTTATTATATTTTTATTTATCTTTTATTCTTATTTCTTTTTATTATTTATTAAATTAACACAATGAATATGAATATTTCAATTAAAACAAAAATGAAATATGAATATTTTTATATTCATTATTTCATTGATTGATAAATAAAATGTTTATATTTATTAATTTTATTTTATATTCTTTTTTTAGTTTTATATTTCAAATAAACAATAATGAATAAAATTCATTTCAATTATAATTAAAATAAATCATTTTATTGTGAAATATTTATATATTGTTTTCAATAAATGAGATTTCTTATTCATTTATATTCAAAAGAAAATTCTTTAAATTGTGTTCTTGTTTTATTTTTATTACTTTTCTTCTTCTATTGTTTTAGTGTTATCTTCTATATTCTTTTCTTCATTTCAAGATTTTTTATAATTCATATTTCTTTATTAAGTATTTCTTAATCATTATTACATTCTTATATTATCATTTCTTTTATATTTTTCTTTCATTTACTGTATTTCTTCAATTTTTATCATTATGCTTCTAACCACTTCATTAATTCAATCAATTATTCATTCTCCATTATATTTCATCTTCATACATTTTTATCTTTTATTTCAAATACTTCGTTTTGAATACTTCTTAAATAAATTGGTAGTTTAAAGTATCATCAATTGTTATTGAATATCTGGAAGTGTTTCTTACTTCTTTAATTATTTGAATATCTTTATTTATTAACTCTTCAACTTTATTTTAAAATGTGAGTATAAAATCAAACAAGTATTAACATTTAAATACACATTTATAATACATATCAAATTATTCATTATTTTATCATCATTTAATTAAAAAGAAAAATTATCATCATTTTATTATTTTCAAATAACATTAATAAAGAATAAATATTGTTATTTGTCTATAATTAGATAATTTTTAAGAAAATAAAAATATTCCAATAAACTTATGAAAGTCATTATTATAATGAATGGATTCTCTATTTAACTAAAACATATGTTTATATAATATTGAATTGTATATAAATGATAAAAGATTGAAAATAAAAGATTAAAATATTCCATATTTTGTAATAAATACTAATAGAAAAACACATTCTGTATTTTGTATTGGTCATAACAAATCACAAATGGATAAATATGATTCTATTGATTTATTATTTTTGAGTAATTAATTAGAGAATATAAAAAATAATCAATAAAAGAAATTCCAATATGAAATATTCAATATAATGGATTACTATAATATTGAAGAATAAATAATCACAGAAAATAATGAACAATATTATATGAGAATATAGATGTATTAGATAAAAGAAATAAAAATGATATATTAAATGATATGATTAATATTGTGATTCATAATATTAATAAAGAGTATTTGAAGAAAAGAAAGGATAAAAAATAGAATAAAGAAAAGAAAATAAGAGTAGTAAGAATAAATAGAGTAGTAAATTCAATAAATATAAGATAACAAATGAAGAATAGATTAAATAAATAAATAAATAAAAATATACTTAAAAATAAAATGAATATTATTAAATATTATTTCTAATATATTTAAATTGTATTTATATGATTTATTTGATAATAATAATCAAAAGAATCAAATTAATAATTAATTATGTATATATTTGTTTTGTTAAATTTAATTTGATTATTTATTATAACAATTTTTTATATTGTTTTTAAAGAAATAAAGAAAATAATATTCTTTAAAGTTTATTTATTTCTTATATTATTTAATAAATATTTATAATATTTAAATTAAATAATTAGATAATATTCTTTTAATTATAAATATGTTTATTATTTATTTTTGTTAATGAATTAGAATTAAAGAATATTAATTATGATTTATCATAATAGATTCTTTAGAATTATATTTCTTTTAATTAATTTCTTTTCAATGATATTAATTTTTAGATATTTTATAATGGAAAGAAATTGATTCAATTAAGATTTATTTATTTAGATAGAAATGAATTTTTAAATAAAATAACTTTTTAATTGATTAATTCATTTATATGTTCCTTCGTCTTTTCTTTCTTATTCACATCTCTTCTTCTATCCAAATCACACGATTTGTTTTTCTTATTTTTTTCTTTCTACTGATTTCTCTCTTTAATGTTTGTAATCTATTCTTTTCTCCTTTTTCTATTTTCTTTGCTTTTGTTCCTTCTTTATCTTTCTGTTCTTCTTTCATTTTATTTATTTCTTCTTCTTTCATTTTATTTATTTCTTCTTCTTTCATTTTACTCATTTCTTCTATCTCTTCTTCAACTGAAACTTCTTCCTCTTTTTGTTTTTCTTCTTCTCTTAATTTTTGATCTTCTTCTCTTACAATCTCCATATTTTCTCCTTCATTCTTAAAGTCTTCTACTTCATCACTCACTTTCTCAAATATTTGAATACTTCCTTCTCCTCTTACAAGTGTTTGTATATTTTCTTCATTTAATCCTGTAATTCCATACATTTCAAGTAATGTCCTTCTTTTTCTCTTCTCAATTCTCCACTTCTCCCATTCTTTTTCTTTTCTTTCTTCTTCTAAATTTTTTTCTTTTTCTTTATTTTCTTTATTTTCTTCTTTTTCTTTCTTTTCTTTTATCATTTCTTCCTTATTTTCTATTGCTTGTTGTTTATTTTCTATCATTTCTTCCTTATTTTCTATCATTTCTTCCTTATTTTCTATCATTTCTTCCTTATTTTCTATCATTTCTTCCTTATTTTCTATTCTTTTCTCATTGTTTTCTATTGTTTCTTCTTTATTTTCTATCTTTCCAGTATTTTCAATTATCATTTCTTTATTTTCTATTCCTTTCTCATTGTTTTCTATTTCTTTCTCATTGTTTTCTATTTCTTTATCATTAGGTATGAGTGTTTGGTTAGAGAGTTCAATAGATGTGGTGTTGGATTTGTCAATGATTTCGTAGAGTGGTTGTTGAGTTGTTGTGAGTGGTTGAATCATCACATGTTGTTTTTCAACGATTTCAGGTGTTCCATCGTCAAGACAGAGTTCGACATCACTCCATTCTTCCATTTGTTCTTCTTGAAAGAGAGGATTAGAGATGTGTTGGGGCAAAGGATTAGAATTGTCTTGCATCAGTGGACTGTAATTGAAATCGAATTTTTAGGGTTTAGGCTATCTATCAATAATTGATGGGTCGCTTCAAGCTCTACAAGAAATTCCTTGGATTTTATAAAGTTTATTGTGGATTAAAAGAACCACTAAGAATTTTAGTTGATGAACAATTTCTTCAAGAGACAAATAGACGTTGTTTATCTCTTCCAAATCTTCTTCTTAAAATATTCAATTGTAAATCTACTATTTGTATTCCAATTTGTATAAAAAATAATCTTCCATCTACTTTTAATTATCCACCACATATTATTATTGATTGTAAACATATTTCTCCATATTCTACTAATCTTGTTTGTTATTTATTTATATTTTCTTTCAATAAACAATAAACAATAAACATAAAATAATATTTTAGTGTTTTAATTCTCTTTTAGAACCATTTAATGGAAAATTAGGAACAAAAATTCCTTATAATTATGTGATTGCAACTATGGATCAAAATCTTATTGAACATTATCGTCATACTCGATTTCCTGTTATAACATATGATAAACAAATTCTTAAATTATGTTCTCCATCTCCTTCTCTTAAACGTGTTTATAAATTATCACTCTCAAGAGCAAAAGATTTAACTCCTGATGAAAAACTTTTAGCTAAAAAAGCTGAAGATGAGTTTCATGCTTTAATGAATGAGGAAAATAAACAAATTATTGGCATGCAAACTCATCTTAATAGCTTAATTAAGTCAAGAAAACCTAAAGGTCCAAATCCTCTTTCAAATTTAAAGAAATCTCTTTACAAACCTCAACCAACTTCTCTTCTTTCTAATTTAAAAAGAAAGATTCATCGTGGAAGTCGTGGAAATCAAAAAGCAAAAAAAATTAGAAAACTTAAATCTCTTTTAATTCCTTCTTCTCTTAATGATATTCCTTCTTCTCTTAATGATATTCCTTCTTCTCTTAATAACCAACCTTCTTCTCTTTAATTTTATTTCTTTCTTATCATTATTCCTTTTTATTTTCTTTCTTCTTATCATTATTCTCTTTCTATTTGTACAAATTTATTTCTAAATCACAAAAACAACACTAAAATATTAAGAAATAATTTCTCCATAATCAATATCACAAGATATTATCAACATTATGACTACAATCATTATCAATGAAATAATACCCATAATTACTTTAATATTAATTGTCATATTTATAACACATAATACTTTCCCAATTAATCACACTTATAATAAAAAGAAAAGTAATTATTATAACCAAAAATACATTAATCTAGGCAAATTATTTATCAATATTATTCTGAGAACAAATATTGTAATAGAAAAAAGCTATAGAAAGTATTTACATGAAAATACAAAGAAGAAAGACAAACAACAGAAAACAGAAATTAGTCCAAGAAATGATGATGAAATTTGAAGAAATAGAATCAAGAAAGAGAAACTTTATAAGAAAGAAGAAGAACAAGAAGAAATACAATGGAGATTGAAGAAAAGAAGAAACAATAAAAGAAACAGCACATGAATAAGAAAGAGTATTAGAAGAAGAGAAGAGATAATAGAAAGATATGAGAAAAAAACAAATCGAAGTAGAATATGAAAGGGAAATAAAAGAAATTGAAGGAAGAATAGAAGAAATGGAGAATACAAAAACAAAAGAAAGAAGAAATGAAGAAGACAATAAAATAGAAAGAATGAAGAGCAAACATAAGATAGAAGTCTATCAGAAAGAAGAAATAAGAATATTGAAAGTAAATTTAGAGAAACAAAAGAAAGAAGAAGAAGCTAATAGATTAAAGAAAGAGAAAGAAATAAGAGAATAAACAAGAAGAAGAAAACAATAAAACAAAAGATAAGACCAAACAACAATAAGAAATAACAAAGATGAAAGAACAAAAAGACAAAGAAATTAAAAAGAAAGAAACAGATAGAAGAAAAAGAAATGATGAAAGTATTAAAAGAAAAATAAAAAATAGAAACATCAGAAGAAAAAGAAAACAACATTAATGAAGAAGATATTATTCAAGATGTAAATTTTAATAAATTGAAGAAGAAGAAAATAATACAACTGACAAAAACAGAAATACCAAAGAAGTGTTTCAAATGGAATAATTGTAGAAGAGAAGAAATGGGTTCCATCAAAGAAGAAAATAAAACAAATATAAGAATGAGTAATTCAAATCAAATGGAAAGAAATAATAAGAATGACATTAAAAGAAATAGAATAATTTGAAAGAATATCAGTATAGAAGAAATAATGAAGAATAAATGAATTATCAGAAATAGATGAAAATAAGATAAAAAGTTATTAATGTTATTGATTAAATATAATATATATTAAAATGAAAATTAGATATTAAAGAAATTAAAGAGATATTAGAAGAAAGAATAATAATAAATAAAGAAGAAGAATATATAGAAATGAATAAAAGGTGAATAGATGAAAGAATCAAGAAAATATAATAGAAATAACAATAAATGTAATGAATAATTATAAATCAATTCAATAAATTAAAATAAATAATGATAAATAACATGAAAGATAAAATAAATATTAATAAAAAGAAGTAATACAAGAAAGTAAAGAAAAATAAATAAAATAACATATATTAATTATTATTTCAATAAAAAACAAGTGATGAAATAATTAAATATATAAATGAAGAATGGAAGTGTGAATGTAAAAATATAGAAGATATCAAAAAATAAATATATAAAATATCGTATTATATTTATAAATATCAATAAAATAATTTTATAAGATATTGAAATGATGAAATTAATTATCTAAGAAGAAGAACCAATAAATTAAAAGATTTATTAATTAACAAGAATTACATCAGAATTAAAATAATAAAGAGAAATAAATAATACAATGATGAATATATTATTAATAAAATATGAAATTAAACAAATAAAATATTTAATTAATAAGAAGAAGAAAAGAATAAACATTAATAAAGAAGATAGGAGAAGAATAAATAAAAATAAAATAATAATAAGAAATAGGAAGAAGATTAAAGAAAAATAAACGAAAATATAGAATATCCATGTGATGTTGATATGGTAACGAAAAAAATGAAATAAGAGAAAAATGAAGAGAAATGATGAAAAAGAATGATATGAAAGAAAAAAGTGAAATTAAGAAGTAGAAGATGATGAAAAGAATAAAAGAAGAAAGTTGAGAATATAAAATGAAAGAAAATAAAAAGGAATAATTTAAAATGAGAAAATAAAATATGAAAATAAAGATGAAATAATGGGTATATTTTTTTTATTATAGAAATTAGAAATATGAAATAAAAAAAGCGTTTAATTTATTGATGTAAATTATTTAACTTTATTTTATTGATATAAATTATTTTATTCTTTTTTATTTTTATAATTTTTATTTATATATATTATTTATTATCTTTTTTCTTTTTAATATATTTAATATTTTATTTTATTATTTATTATTCTTTTATTTATTTTTCTCTATTCTTTTATTTATTCATTTTTATTATATTTATGAAATATTTCATTATTATAAAATATTTTTATTATTTAATTATTTAAATGATTTATATTAAAATGAATTTATTTTATATTTCATTGTTTTATTTTATCTTTATTTTATATTTTAATAATTTCTTTAATATTATCATTTTATATTATTATTATTATTGTTTCATATTTTTATTATTTATCATTATTATTATATTTTCATTTCTTATTTTATTTTAATTTATTATTATGTTTATTTATATTTCTTTTCTTTCTTATTATTCTTCTTTATTCTTATTATTTATTTATTTATTAATTTTTTATTTTATTTATTTTCATTTGATTCTTATTTTCATTTCTTGTTTTCTTGTTTTGATTATTTTGATTTAAATTAATTTTAATTTTTATTATTATTATATTTTTGATTATTCTTATTTATTTATCATTTATTTATTATTTGTTTTTATTATTATCATTTGATTTATATTTATTATTTATTTCTTTTATTATCTTTCTTTTCTTTATTCTTTATTATTTATATTATATTCTTATTTCTTATTATTTATTTTTGATTTTAAATGATTGTTTCAATATTCATCATTTTATTTATATCTATTATCTTAATCTTATATCATTAAATTCTATCATTAAATATTAAATAATCAATGTCATATAACAAATAATTTAAATAATATATCATTATAAAATGAAATGATTAATAAATGATTTCATAATAAATATTAAATTCATGAAATATTGAATAATATAATATAAAATGATAAATAAAAATAAAATGATAATAATAATAAATAATAATACAAAATATAAATAATAATAATACAAAAAATAGATATAATATAAATATATTAATCAAATTAATATATAAATAAAAATAAATAATAATAATAAACAAATAATAAAATTGAATATATTTTTTATTAAAGAATCGAATAAATAAAATAAATAAAAAGATAAATAATAATAGAATAAGAATAAAAGAAATATATATAATAAATAAAAATAATAAAAAATAGATAGAAAAAGAAATATAAAAATAAAAGAAAATAAACATAAAATAATAAAAGAATAATAAGAAAAGATAAAATAAATAATAAAAATAAATAAATAATAAAATAATAAACATAATATTTATATTAATAAAATACTAAATGATATAATTAATAAAATCAAATATAACATAATATAAATGATAAATATGATAAATAAGAATAAAATAAACACAAAAAATAAAAAATAAAATAAATAACAAAAATACAAAAACAAATATATTCAAAGAAAAAAAATGAAATAATATAAAAAGAAGAGAAAAGAATAAAAATATAATATATAATCAATTATAAATGTTATATGATTAGTGTATAATATGTAATATGTAATATATAATAAATAATAATTTCATATAATATAGATATAAGATATAAAAATTAAATGAATAATAAATAAAATATATA